AGGACCCATCAGAGACACCCCAAACCCTTCAGGACCCCTTGAGGGGCCCCTGAGGACACCCCAACTCCCCCCGGACCCTTCATGGCCCTAGCATGAGCACCTCAAAACCCCCTAAAACGCTTTGGGGGGCTGCAAAGGACACCCCAAACCCCCCAGGACCCACTGGGGACATCTTGAGGACACCCCAAACCCTCCAGAACCCCTTGGATGGCCACTAAAGACACCCCAAAACACCCAGGACTCATTGGGAACCCTTCAAAGGATACCCCAAACTCCCCAGGATCCCTTGGTGGCCCTGGGACGAGCAGCCAAACCCCCCAGGATCCCTTAGGGACCCCAACCTGAGCACCCCAACACCTCCCCAGGACCCCTTGGGAATCCATCAAGGACACCCCAAACCCCCCAGGACCTCTTGATCAAGGGCATCCCAAACCTCCAGGATCGCTTCAGGGTTCCAACAAGGACACCACAAACCCTCCGGGACCCATTAGGGACCTCGTATAAGCACCCCAACCTCCCCAGGATCCCTTAGGGACCCCAACATGAGCGCTCTAAACCCTGCAGGAGCCTTGGGGACCCCTTGAGGACACCCCAACCCCCCCAGGACCCCCTGGTGGCCACTAAAGACACCCCAAACCCTCCAGAACCCTTTGGGGACCTCTGCACAAGCACCTCGACCCCCCAGAACCCCTTGGAGGCCACCAAGGACACCCAAACACTCCAGGACCCCTTCGGGACCTCAACATGAGCATCTCAAGCCCCCCAGGACCCCTTGGGGACCTCAGTAGGAGCACCTTAAGCTCCCTAGGACCCCTTGGTGGCCATAAGAACACCCCCAAAACCTCTAAAACCCCTTGGGAGACCCATCAAGGACACCCCCAACCCTCCCAGGACACCTTGGATGGCCACTAAGGACACCCCCAAACCCTCCAAAACCCCTTGGGGGACCCATCAAAGACACCCCAAACCCCCCAGGATCCCTTCGGGGTGCCACCAAGGACACCTTAACCCTCCCAGGACCCCCTGGATGGCCACTAAAGACACCCAAACACTCTCAGGACCCCTTGAGGACCCCTTAAGGACACCTCAAGCCCCCCAGGACCCCTTGGTGGCCATAAGGACACCCCCAAACCCTCCAAAACCCCTTGGGGGACCCATCAAGGACACCCCCAACCCCTCAGAATCCCTTCGGGGTCCCACCAAGGACACTCCAAACCCTCTAGGACCCCTTGGAGACACCTTGAAGACACTCCAACCCCCCCTAGGACTCCTTGGATAGCCATTAAGGACACCCAATCACTCCCAGGACCCCTTGGGGACTTCAACACAAGCATCCTGACCGCCCGGTACCCCTTGAGGACCCATCGAGGACCTGCCAAGCCCCCCAGGACCCCTTAGGTACCCCAAACCCCCCAGGACCCCCGGCCCCAGGATCCCTCGGCGGCCACTAAGGACACCCCAACCCCCCTGGGGCCCCAGGGGGACGTCAGCACCAGCACCCTAAGCCCCGGGGAACCCCTCACCCCCTGCCGGGACCCACCTTGACCTTGACGGTGTTGGCGACGATGCCGTCAACAATGTCCTCGGTGAAGGGGTCGAAAGCTTTGTCCTCGCGCCGCATGAACTC